CATGAAACGCTGGCCACTACGAGGGGGCAGCTGGGTAGATCACACGGTGTCAGAGGCAGTCAATAGACATGAGACTCGGGTGGCAGACCCAGTCACAGAAGGGAAGAATCTTTTGTGGTGCGTAAAAGGCTTCACACTTTATTCTATCGACAATGAGGAAACAGATATTACACAAGATTTTATCTTATTGTATTTTTTGTATTTTAGGGAAGGGTCTACATGGTTTTCAGGGTCTCACTACCAGATCAGACTCGTAGTGATACTCCTGTTTACAGCCCCCCATGTCCTGGGATTACAGGTGCGCGCCTCCGCAAGCAGTCTCAATCGCTGTCTCAGCTGGCAAGGCTGGTAATGAGGACAAATGACAAGCTATGCCTGTGTAAGTAGTAGACTCAGAGTTAGGAAGCTGTATCTTTGTCCGTCATATGAATTCTATAGTACGATATGCTTGACTTACCCTTGGGCTTCGTAGTGATGTTAGATCCTGTAGCATGTGAATAGCCAATATGAACACTGGAAAAATTTTAGTCCCATAAAGTCTAGATTTGGGGAGTGAAGTCCTATACCTGGGTTTCCTATTTGAGGATGTGTTGCTCTACTCCATTATACCCATGAGTGATACAACGGTTTCATAAAAACTAATTATTTCCTTACATCTTCCCCTGTCTCTCTATCTCTCCTCTATATTTTGGTCCTTCAAAGCCAATACAGTTAATAATGTAGTTAAGAAACCCAAATCCAAAAATCCTAAATTGCAAAAGATCCAAAATCTAACATTTTTAGCACTGAAAGGATAGCACAAGTTGGAAACTTCAAATTTGACCTCATGTGACAGATCACTATCAAAATGTGGGCACACTAAGAAGATGGTGTAAAATGACCCTCAGGAGCTGGGGATACAGCTCCGAGGAAGAGAGTGTCCCCACAATGTGTGAAACCCTGGTTCACTCCCCAACACTGGGAAAAAAACAAAACAAAACTTGCTTTCAGGCTATGTGGATAAACTATAGATGAAATATAAATGAACTTCGTGTTTAGACTTAGATCCAAAATGTTTTATTGTGGATATGAAAATATCCCAAATCCAAATAAATCTAAAATCCAAAAGATTTTTGGTCCCAAGTATTTCAAATAAGGAGTATGCGTGTGTACCATTTCTTATGTGTCAGACACTGTTCTAAACCCTCAGCATGTCTTAAAATCATTCACTTTTCATATGCATCCTGCGAGATGAATGCCATTACTATCCTCATTTTTCAGAGGAAGAAACAAGTCTCCTAAGACCCTAAGTAAGAAGACGATCACAACTGGGGCCTGGAGCCCGCGTTTTAATAATCACACTATGCTGCCTCCCCCAGATCTGTTGATAAGGGTACTAAGAAGAAACAAAGCACCAGGATATTAAATGTTGCCTTCTCTTAGGCATTTCTCATAAACTGCAAAATTCATACTGCAAACTTCAGTCACTCAGCTTTCCTTTACTGCAATAGATACCTGAAATAATCAACTTATAAAGAGAAATTTAATTTTGGCTCACAGCTTTGGAAGTCGCAGTTTGGGCCTGTGGAGAGGCAGCATGTCACATGGTGAAATAAAACTGCTCAGGGAATAAAGGAGAGGAGAGTGACTGGCCAGGGGTTCTGTCCCCTTTCAGGCAAGACCTCCCACTAGGTCATTTCACCAGTTCATCATCTCCCAACAGAGCCACCTTGTTCCATTGGGGAACATTTAGGACTCAAATGCGCAGTTGTGGGTTTATATCCCTGGTTTGTCTTTGTCCAACAATCTTCAGAAACATGTTTAGTAGTTCAGACTGAGAGTACAATTAGCTCTCTGTTAATGGTTAATGGTGTTTTTTTCTTTTTTTGCAGTTTAACTAAAACCCTGTCTCACACTTGAGATCTTTACGAAGAGTTCCTCCATGACACGAGACTTATAAGAATTTGCCATTCATTACATTTCTTCCTTTGACCACTCAAGACTGAAATGATACTTTTTGTGCAAGGTCAGCAATAAAGCAAATGTAATATAAGAGCTCTATTGACTTTTAAAAAGTTGATTGCATTAATCTTTTTCCTTTTTATCTTGTCTTTGGGTCAGAAGCCACTGACCCTTTCATGAGTAGGAACTGCCATATTCTCTGAAGTTTCTAAAGCAAATAAAATAGTAGCAGGAAGTTTTTTTAAAAATCAATTTACCATACAAGGATGTAGGATTTACTTACTGGCTGAAGGACCCCTGACATTGCTTGATTTGGGGGAGTCTGAGAAATGTTTTGAGAAATGTTCAGTCATTTAGGAAAAATTGAGCTGATAGTTGGTTCTTCATGGTTTTAAATCATTCTTCATATGAGCAAATGATAGAATTCTACGGGCCTTCAAATCTGGATTAAAAATATACTAACATGCATTGCACGTTTTTCCCCCAAGACTTAAAAAAAAAAATTAAAAAGAATACACAAGGCTCCAAACTTTCAGCACAAGAATTCTGTGAAAACTATTGCCAATACTCAAAAGTGAGAAGACAGGAACTGGATGGTAAGTGAAGAAAAATCTCAGTGGTTTCTCTTCAAGTGCAAATGCTAATAGACTTGTAAATTCTTTGCCACAGGTCTTTTATAAACCAACCCTCTAAAAGGCTATGGAATTATAATGCATTGCTAATTGTTGGCCATCTTGCTATACCCAGCGGAAGTGAAGGAGCGCAGTGCTAGGTGTAGGAGACCCACCTGAGGACTGCTGCCAGCAGCATAAGAGGCAGCACTGGGGAAGCTGTTGGGAGGCTCTTAGGGACACTCGTTGGAAGTCGCTGGTTGTCTAGGGTTATTCTGCAGGAAGACCTTGCCATGCTGGCTTTCCTAGGGAACCCGGCTGTTCTCAGAGGAGGAGCTGGGGAACTCACTCTAAGAATGGCTATAATTCACTTTGGGGGAGCTCTGGTCCTCACCTTGAGTATTGCTTCCTGACTGTGGAGAGGAAGATGGTGCATGGTTCAGCCTTCAGAAGAAGCTTGTCACATTAGCTTTCCTGATGGGAAATCTGCTTTTCTCATTGTCGGAGGAGCTTGGGACCTCACTGTTGCTGATGATGGCTGTGGTTCTTTTCCCAGGAGCTCTGGCTCTTACCTGGAGCGTTGCTTCCTGGCTTCAGTGCAGATCCTGCAGCCTGCTAGCACAGATCCTTCATCCCACTGGCATACCCTTTCTAGCTCCCACCACTGACCTTTGGGCTTTCCTGCACAGATTGATGAAGTGCGTCTGAGACATTGTTTCCAGTTGGACTTGTGGGAGGCATTGTTATAGGCTTCAAAATTTCAGCTGCACTCATGCAGGATACTAGCATCCAGGCCTTCAGCTGGATTCTTTGGTCTTTAAAGTGTAGAGCACTTTCCTGCACTCTTTGTATGTGATTCTTTGGGTGATTATAAAATCTTACAAAATGTGTCTTGCATTGTATTTTTCCCCTTGCAAGAACTCCAAACCAACACCAAGGTCTTTTCAAGGCCTACTTTACCATGTACCGAGCACTGCATATGTTGTAGGCAGAACTGGAATTCAAACCTTTTACCTCAGCAATCACTCACCTCCTTAGGTTAACATCATGTTAAATTAAAAAAAAAAAAAAAAAAAAAAAAACACAGAAAGATGCACTGGATGAACATAAATCACACCCACCTTTATATTCTGATTTCTGCCACACTACAAAATATAGCAAATTTATCCTACGAAGCAAACTGTGGGCTCATTGCCTAGTGAGGCCATCCAGGACTTGTGGAATCTTGCAGAATTACCTAAGGGATTGGTGGAGAACCTACAAAATGGGAATTAGCCACCCTTTAAAGACTGAGAAGTGGGTGGGAAAAAAAACAGTGCAAACAAACAGCTAATCCTAGAGAGCTTGTTCTCTCTGCCTTTTGTCCCTCTGTCTCTACTCAAGGCAGTACTTAAACCAGGTGTTCACCCCCCCCCCCGTGGGGGTACTGGTCATCCACCACCTTCCTGCTCCTGGGGCTTCGGGCCCTTTTTGTCTTGCCCAGCAGCCAAAGCTGAGACCAGCGGCAGCAACTTGGAGCTCCCTTTGCAGAGTTGTAGGCTTGAAGAAAACGGCTGCCTCACCGGCTAGGCTGTCGGCGCACTCCCGTGCCTCCTACGAGTATGAGCAGCCGGCGGGAAAAGGGGAGCACGGGAGGTCTCCTTGTGCCCGTGTCCCCCCCTCCCATTCAGGGCGGGAGGAGGAGACTGCACGATTAAACGCAGAAGATCGCCATACTCCATCTGCATTTTGGGCTTCGCTGGAAGGGAGTTAGGCGCCGGGCGAGGATGCAGGGCGCCCAAGCGGTCGGACGGGGGAGCGAGAGCTAAAGCTTACGAAGCGCGCGACCGCCGGCGCCGGGAGTCGACGCGGCGCCGAGCTGGGCCGAGAGGAGTCGGATGCTGGGCAGGAGCGGGCGGGGGCTCCGGGGGCGGGGCACCGGGGCGGGGCCTTAGGACGGGAGGGCGGGGCCCTGGGGCGGGGCCTTGGGGCTGGAGGGCGGAGCCTTGGGCTGGAGGGCGGGGCCTAGGGGCGGGCGGGAGGGGCCTAGGGGCGGGAGGGCGGGGCCTTGGGCGGGGCGGAGTCTCCCCGGGCTGCGCAGGCGTTGCTCGCACCTTGTTGATTAGTCAGTGCTGGGAGCGCTGCTATGGCGTTTCTCGTACCCGCGGCTCCTCCTCACACGCTCGAGGCGGAGGGAAGGAGGGGTGAGAGGAGGAGGAGGAGGCGAGCGGGCGGCCACTGCAGCTGCAGACCCGGGGCCCGCGCAGGAGGCGGAGCGCGAGCCGCCGCCCGCCGTCGCGGGGCCGCTCCGAGGGCTCTCCGGGCTTGAGGG